AGTAAAAATCACTAAACAGGACTGGGTTTTTGGCTAAACCCAGAACATTCTCACATAGACCATGGCACAAACTTCTGTACCAAATGGCCTCAGTAATTTTTACATAGTATTTTCAAATGTGGACTGAGGGGGAAGCCTTTCCTTGGGTTCAGTCTCTGATACAGGTGTTTTCAGAGGGAACTAGGTACCTCTTCAATGTGTGCTGGTTTAGCCTTTAAAAACCTTTCCCAACAAGCTCCTTAAGTCTAAGCTCTGTTGTGCTGTGCTTCGCCAAGCATCAGCTGTGAGCAGGAGGCCTGACCCTGCACAAAGAGCTTCCTTTAATTCCCAGTGGACTTGTGGTTGAACAATGGATGCAGGATTCAGTCCGCAGGGAATGGAAACTACCAGGAAATTGTTCCCATCCGTGATTCTGATCCTTCCATTTTAAAATCGGAAATGCGACACAAAAAACAACACCGTGTTTGCAGCAGATTCTGCTGATTGCAGGGCATTGTGTAAGCATGTCGGGGTTTTCTTTTTTCTTTTTTTCCCCTTCTTTTACCAGACAGAATAGGTGAAGAGGTTGAGCTGCAGATCTCATTTCTCCTGTTTTGCAGCTTGTGAAGTCTGCCAACAGAATCCACCTTGACAAAGTCAAGGACTCTGCGTTTAATGTTGAACTGAGTGAATAAATTATGCATGAAATTGTGTCGGAGTCTCTAGTGTGCAGAATTGCTCCTTTTGATATGAAAGGTTAATTCAGAAAGGAGTCCAAAATAGCTGGAAATTGTGGGGATAAGTGGATAGTATTCACTGTTGTGAGCTGTTATTACTAGAAATTGCATTCCCTCTCTAGCTTCCCTAGAGATTTAGCTTTGCCGGTGAATATAAACTGTACTCAATAGAATAGCATTTAGGAGTAACAAGAGTGTATGTCCACATACAGTAAAATATTCTGATGGTGTTTTAAAAGGAAGCTGTACTTTTTCATGTGTTCTGTGTACCCTAAGGATGGGTTGCTATTACATTTAGGTCAAGAACAAGGCATAGGGAAGGTAATAAGTTTTGAGTACATCTTTATTACAAATATGCTGACTGTATGATCCATATCAAAGGAACTGGACAGTCATTTTTTTTCTGATTGAGTTTGTATGTGCCTTATGAGAGAGTTGTCTCTGAGCAGAACTCCAGTCAGGTTTTCTCTGAGCTTTGGCAGAAGATTCATTCATGTTTTTATTTGGGATATCCTCTCTCTGATCTTTTGCTGTATCCATTGACGGTGCTGCTGTGCCCTCTCTCATGCTTGTTTTTGTGCATCTTCCCTGTGAAATGCAGTGCTAGAAGATTTTTTTTCTTTTTTAATCCAAAAGGAAGTTAATGACTCACTGTAAGCAAAAACATTAATTTTAGCCAAGTTAGCTCTGAATTAAGACACTTCTTGTTGCCATCTGTTGCTGTCTATGATGCCTCTGTAGCAAGGAGAAGGGATTGCACTGTGAACATTCAGGAAATTAGTTTCAGCAGGATATTTTGCAGGAGATTATTTCCTTCTGGATCTCAGCTTTCTTCACAGTTGGAGACGTCTGGGCTCTGCTTCTCTCCCAGCAAAGGACAAAGGCATCTGCAACGTGCTGTGAGGTCCCTGTCTGCTCCAGGAGGACAAGGGTGATCAGTGCCTCTTCTTAAACACCTTCATCCATTTTGCGAGGGACGGCAGTGAGTTCTTCTCTTCATCGCTGCACCAGTGTTTCTAGTGCTTATCTCTGCAGCCAGAGCTCCCAACGGAGCAGGTCTTTTTTTTCTTTCTGACTGTCTTGGTTCGGCAGCAGGTGCTGCTGGTGAGGAAACTGCCCCCAACATGGTAACCCGGTCCCAGTGACAACCTGTGCAGGTGGCCCGTGCTCTGCTAGCCAAGGAGGTCCAGGAAACAGAGCACTTCTCTGTTCCTGTGGCTGTTTTTCTCTTGTGTAGAGGCTGCTTGAGAAGCAAAGCTGGTTCAAGGAATTTCATGGATTTCCCTTACAGGCCTGGAGCTGCTTCCAGCTAAATATGGAAAACCCAACAGCAATCTTGAAGCTGTGGAAACAAGAAGATCAAATGGTGGCAAGATCCCAATATGAACCCCAAGGCAGTGATTCAGGCATTTCCAGAGAGGTATCTGGTACTAGGTATCGAGAAGAAATGAAAGGTGCCCAGGTGACCTTTATGTCTGGCCGTTCAGGACTTGATGAACTGGCAGAAAAGAAATGCCTCCCAACTGGTGGCCTCACACCCCCAGGCAGTGCAAGGACAAGACAGGCGTGTGCTGGATACACGTAGAGCACAGGCACCCTCCTGGGATGAAAGCTGTGAAGTTAAAAGGTGGTTTATCCGTATTGGAAGATAGATAAGAAGAGGGTGAACTATCAGCAGGTAGGCAGTACAGAAGGAGGGATGAAATGAGAAGTCCAGCTAATATCCAAAGAGCTACACACCTCCATATGGACCTAATGAAGTCAATGCATAAAAGTGAGATTCTTTTTCATTAGGGAGCCATACCACAGAGCAGTAGTAACATATGTTCAGAGATGGTCACATCTGCTTCTAAATGTCTGCCCCCCACCTCTTCCGCCTGAGAAGGTTACAAGTCAGAAGGTAGTGATAAGTCATGATAATTACTTGAATTTGGCTTTGGCTGTTCTCTCTGGGGAATGAGACCCCTAATCTTTCTTCTTGATGGACTCCTCTCAGCTTTCATCTTCTGACCCTTCCTGCAGTATCTACGTTGGACAAACTAGCTGAGTTGCAGCCTAATATAAGATGCTCTACCACAGCAGCAAAAATGTTGCTGCTGCTTTCCCCCAGTATAGCTCAAGAGGGAACAAGGACAAAATTTTCTTACTGGTCATGAGATGAAAAGATGGATCCCAGGAAACTAGATGTCCCAGTTTCTGCTACATTTATTATAAACCATTTGGCCTTGAGGTCTTTTTTCATTGTAGTGTAGTATCAAAAGGTATCCCAAATGTGGACTCATGAATGCTTTTTGGCAGAGCTTCTGTGCTATAGCACATCTGAAGTAAGCATGAGTGTCCGGGCTCTCGGACAGGCTTAATTTCTTAACCACAATGATGCCAGTTTGCACAATAAAGTAAATCAGAGCTTCAGTGATCTACTTTCCGCTATTTCCTCGTCTGAATGATGCACTCCCTGCTTCAGAAAGGCTCCTGAAATCTCTTTTTGGGAGCCATCAACATCATTGCTGAAAACAAATTAGTTTTTCACATTCTGTTGCCATTTGTTATTGATGCTTTCTCTTGTACATCTTGGGGAATTGCTCGTCCCTTGTTGTGCACAATTTCTCCAAACACAAAAGGGAAATCTGGACGCAAGAAGTACTGTTAAAAGTTGTGGTAGAAACAGTGAGTTCTAAAAAACATAATTGTTTCTCTTTTCACTCGAAATGCCAAGACTTGAAAGCATTTCTGCTTGCCGAGATAGGTGGATGAGCCGTTGTTTCATTGCAATGCACACAGATGCAGTTAAATAGTCCCAGATGGAATCTGAAATATTCCACAGCAGCCTCTTGGGCAGCGAGTGCATTAGCTGCCACAGGAGAAGGCTGTAAAGGCTCCCATCTGGTCATCCATCAACACTTTTATACATTATCATCAGCAGCCTGCTTGGAGGGAAGGTGTGCCACATTTCTGAAAATCCAATTAGATGATAGCAGCCAGTCTCTTTTATCCTCTCTGTTGCTGAGCCATCCAAAGCATTTTTTTAGATTAAAGAAACATCATTTTCCTTCATAGGAGCTGTACTGCTTTATCTCTATCATGACCTGTTCTTTTATGTGCTTGATAATTCTCTTTTTAATTGGGATTTCAACCATTTTCCTGCTACTGAAGTGGGACTTGCTAGTTTGCAATTCCCAGGATCAGCCTTATGCCTCTTTCTACCAGACTGATGTAATTGCCACTCTTCAATTTGTTGATAGTTACTCCTTGGAGAAGAGATAACACTGCAGCACCTCAGCTGATGAGTTTGATGCCAGTTCTCTCCCTAATCCTGATGGATCTATTTGCTTTGACTCTAGATATGCAGATGTTTCTGCTGTGACTCTTAACACCACAAGCTGGGATGAACCATCCTCTTTTACATCCTGGTTTTCTTTGAGAGGTTCAGAGTTTTGTGCACCAGCGTTGCTGAAGAATTGTCTGTAAAATACAGAAAACTCCAGAAGTAATTCTAAGAATGTCACCTTTAAAACAGCAGGGCTCCCTCTGGTTTGGGTTTTATAGAAAGGATATTTTAATGACAAGATTTTAAATTTTCAGGTAAATAGTTAGTCTTTTCTCCAACATATTTTTTTTCACAGGTGTTACATGCTGAGGATGAGCACTTTGATATAGTCTTTATTGATGCTGATCAAAGGAATGCTGTTAACTACTACAGCTTTGTCATGGATAACCACTTGCTGAGAATGGATGCAGTGATCTGTGTAGAGAATACACTCATGAAAGGACAAGTCTACCTGGAGAACATAGCTGATGAAAATGTACTAGCTGTCAGAAAATTAAATGCAGTGATTAATTCAGATCCTCGTGTTGAGCAGGTTAGTGCAATGCAATTGGTTAAGGTGCCTGTGGTACTGTATCTATGGATTTTGCAAAGTACTCTTTAAAATGTTTCTTTTGTTGGTGCCATTATCCAGAGGACCTAAAATGAACTCAAATTTTATTATAATTCACCTCACCTCACTTGAGCTCTATGTATGAGTTTCTATATTCAGAAGTGGGCCCTTCTCGCTGTCTACATCATATAGTGTTAAAGGCAAGATAAAAGTGGAGCACTTAGAGCGAATAATTGGCTCTACGGTACAACCAAGGAACTACCGCTCCACTTTAAAGGCTCTGGAGGCTCTAGGTCACCACGAGCACAACAGGAGTCAACAAAGTTCTACTCCAGCAGGATAAAAAAAACCCCAACAAACTAATAGGATGCATAAAGAGCATGCCGTGGGTTTAGAGGCAAATTTAAACACATGCCCTCCAGGACTTTAAAGCAGGTGTGAATGATGCTACCCCAGGGCAGTCACCACCAGCTTCCAAATCTTGGTCTCATGCCATGGCTGCCTTGGGGTGGCAGAGGGGCTGCTGTGGCTGGGAGGAGCCGCTGAGGATGAGGCACTGAGGACTCGGCACTGGAAGACTGGTCCTGTGGTGGGACAGGTGAGTTCTGTCACCTCCCTCCCAGGCGCAGGGCTGTGAGGCTCATGCCCAGAGGGTTTTGGTGTGAGCATCATCAGCTCAAGGTTCTTGTCTATCTGCAGGTCAGACTGTCTCTAGAGGTGCCTCTAGTGTTTCTGTATTTGTTTTATCATCAATACAACTGTCAGCTAATGTACCAGGAGCAACTTTTTTTTCTTTTTGTAGGAAAGGGAAAAAATTAATGACAATTTTTCATGCCCTGAATCTTACTTTTAGCCATTCAATGCATGTAAGTGGCATGTTGTTTCCATATCTGAGGTTCTAGTAGCTTGATCTTGGTGATGAACCTCCAACACTGAGTGCAGTTTTCACTGAACTGCGATACTGGTATCAGAGAAGGTAGGTGGCAAAACCCACTGATATTATTATTCGGTGGGTGCAGGACAGATATTCTAGCGAATGTTGAAGAACACTGAAGTGTTGCTGTCATGGTTTGCTAAGCTCCAAGAATAAGGCTGGAATACCCTCATGACAGCATTAACTAGGTGGTGGAAACCCAGAAACCTCAGCAGCCAACACTGATTTAGAAAACAGAGAGAAAAAAATACGTTTTCTTCCTGGCATTTGTGGAAGCCGTGAGTTTGGAAGAGGAATGTGAGCAAATACACATGCCTGACAAATTTGTGTTGAAGGGAGTTTTAGCTAAAGAATACGAGTAGGAGAAAAGCTACGGTGGCCTAAGCAAGGAAGGTCTACCTTTCATATCAGTGGAATTTGGCTGGTAGAAAGCCAGGTACAAAGCAATTAAACACCGTGTGTGTGCGTTATATTTGCAGATAATTCTACCTGTGCAGAGTGGACTGAGCATCATTCGCAGGAATCCTGTACCTCCAGATGCAGTGATTGAATCCAAGGTGTGTGTTTCCTTTCTGTGAGCACTTCTGGGAAAATTTTAGCTCTGCTGGGGACAACGGCAAAATAACTTCCAGGGCTTTGGTGGCAAAAACCCAAACTTGTGTTCTGGCATGCCATGGTGCTGTGCAGCTCGGGGCTTGGCGTGTATTAGCCTCTCTAGTCCAGGGTTACCCTAAAGCTATCAAATGCTGATTCCTTGCAAAATCTCTCGGATCAGCCGTGCTGGTGCTGTGATAAATCTCGAGCTCTGGAGCGCTGCTCAACGGGTGTCTGTGCCTGGTGCTCTCCTGTCCTTCCCATTCAGGGGGACATGGGCAGATGGAGACGGGGCCCAGCCATAACAAACCACTGCAATATTTCTGAAGTTACCCTCTTTTTTTGTTTAATTTCCCTCCCCCCCCAATACAGCACATGATGCTCTCCTACTGAGACAGATATTTTCATGGCCTTATATTTTACTTGTCCTGTGGAAAAGATGGTGCTTTTATCTTTCTCTGTTTTACATCGTGAGCATCATCCAGCTATAATGAAGTTCCCATCTGGAGTCACAATGGCCTAACTTGGTAAATGGAGACCCAAACCTCCTGATTGTTTTGCAGCTTCTGAGTGCTCCCGAAGCTATATCCACTGGCAGTTCCTGGCATTTTAAGCTCAATATTTTAAACATCTTGTATTTTCCATTTTAATTCCAGTCAGAGGGAAATGATGTATGGCAGCTGATCAGATGACAGCTTGCTTTAAGTTATTGGCTGATATCTTTATTTGCGCACCAGCCTTGTGAAGATATTTTGACTGTGCTCCGTCTGAGCCAAATCCTGCCTTTGGAAACTTGTTCTTAGCCTCTGTGCCTTCCTGGAGCCAGCTGAGCCTGAGGCGGAATTGGGCCCTGGGGGTAAAATAATTGGCAAACTGAGTCATCTCCTAAGAAATTTTACCTGACTCATCTCCCATGAGATTTCCTGGGTCAGGAAATACCAAACTTCACTTCCAGGTAAGTGGAGTGGTCCATGCATCTCCCCAAACCACAGCTCTTCTGCTCCGTTGTCTTGCGTATAGTGCTCTCATTGAAAATAATATCTGTAGGAATAAGGGTGCTTTTTGGCTTGGATTAGTCATACCTTTTGTCTTAAGTAATGGGCTAAAAAGACATTGACCCCTATTTGTGCTCCCACCTCCTTCTCACAGATAGAGTCCTTAATAGTTATCACTTTCCGAGCTTTGCACCTCATTGTGCAACGTATATATGTTTTTGTTTTAGAAAGAAGTGGTGAGGGATGATGTCTTCTGGGGTTATAACAGGCGTCGCATCCTTGACCGGCTGCGTTTGGATGGCCAGGTGGCCTACGTCACAGGCGGAGGGCAGGGAATTGGAAGAGCCTTTGCTCATGCGTTGGGAGAAGCTGGTGCTAAAGTAGCCGTGGTGGATCTGGCCCTTGCAAAGGCAGAAGCGGTGGCGTGTGAGCTCGGCCTCAAAGGTAAGCACAGGGCTGACCCACAGGTCCCACTGGACACAACCCGTTGATAAGTGCTGCAATGGGCTGCTTGCCTTGCTCAAACCTGACCGTTTCTCTGCAGCACAATTATTTTCCATCCAGCCCTGGTGGGGAACACATTAGAGCAGGGGGATTTCAAATACGTGCCAAGGTCACAGAAGTTCTCTGGTCCAGGCTGGATGTCAGTGTTATCTCAGCAAACGGTCATCGATATCACATCATCTGTGAGGGTTATTTATTCATATAAACTCATCCAGAGGGGCAAAGTGATCCAAGCAAAATTGCTCTCCAAGAGTGCCCAAAAGAAGCACAGCAGTGAGCCATGACTGACAGGGACAGAGAAGGGCCACACCTTGCAAATGAGATCTGTACAACTTGCGTTGAACCAACAGAGCTGGTGCTCCTCAGACTAATTCGTGCAGCAGCCAAGGGACCTCAAGCTTCGCTAAGGAGGGGCAACAGACATGGCCTATGAGCTTGTTAGCACATCCCTCGCACCTCTTCCTTAATGTCTGGTCCCTGAGCCAAAACATCAAAACAAGGTAGAGGTATGGTCAGCATAAATCTCTCACTGTGCCCTCAGATTGAAGCAAAGTCATTTTTCAAACCCTCAGTTCTTTCAAACAAGCATGCAACGTTAGTTATAGGAACATCACATTAATAGACATAATAACTAAAATCCTAAATAAGAGATGAAGTCCTCTACAAGCCACTTCTATTTTAACAGTAAAACCAGAAAAAGTAACATAAAATTGAATTTCCCCCTAGAGTCATGCTAAACTGCAATTGTAAAGGGGAAAAAGAAAACTGGAAATATAATTTTTATGAGAAAAGAAAGAAAGTGTTACTTTCTTTATAATTCCTTTTGTAAGATTACAACTGAGCCTTCTTCAAAGTTTAGTACTTCATTGCCTCTAAAGATGAAGCTTTATCCAGGAAATGTTCACACTCTTGTTTGGATAAAGTCACCAGTATTTGTTTCCACTCTGATCTCAGAAAGGAATGGGCCATTGGAAACTATCTCCAGCAAAAGCAGCCCCTGTAGATGTATTTCTATCACCCAGTGTCAATCAGCTCCCTGAGGAAGGGACGATAATGGTTCGCCTCTGGTTTTGATATCCTGAGACTTTGCAGAGAACATCTTGAACAAAAAGCCTCAGTCTGTAGTAAGCAGCTCTAGTAAGCAGAAAACACTTTACACTGAGTATGAGAGTCACAGTTAGAGCTTTGATTGCTGATCTAATCCCAAATAATGACCTAGAACAGAAAGTGCCGAGCTCCTATAACAAATTCTTGAGTCATCCAGCCCCTCCCTTCCCTGAAGCTTTGCATTTTCTTATGGGCTGAAGCCATCTGGTCTTGCCACAAAGTGGCTGTGCCCTTCAAGTTAACTTGCCTTTTGGACCTTTATTCAGGGTGAGATCCTGCATATCAAGTAGAGCTATTCAGATAGAAATGGGCTACCTGATGGAGCCATGAGGCTTTGGATGCCAACAGCCTATCTGAAAAGTAACTTAACTTATCTCCAGGGCATTTTCAGTGGGAGTTTGATTATGCATCCTTCAATGACTGCCCTACATCTCTGCTCCTTCACCGGTGGGCTGCAAGCCCAGAGGAGGTGGGGGATGTGTGTTACAAAATGTAGTTGGAGAGGTCATGAGGAATAGCAAATACTATTGCAGTGTGAAGTGAAGAAAAATCTCGCTTCTGAGTCTTTATACATCTTTACCCTTTGAGGTCAAATATTCTCTATCAACTTGACCAGTGCAGCTGGTCAGGGCACATCTATTCCACCTCATGACGGTTTTTGAGGTTTCAAATTTATTGTCATTCCTTGCTGGAACAAAATCCAAACTTTGTAATGCTTTTGTGAAAGGGAATTATATCCAAATGCCCGTTTTTGGAAAGGATCTGAAAAGGTCAGGTTTTCAATCTCTTTCTCTCCAGAGGTAACTAGAGAGTCTAGCCTGGACCTCAGAAGCTTTCCCTTGAAAACTTTTGTTGAAATCAATATGTTTCCATGAAACATTTCGGCTTCAAAGAAGTCGCATGCTCTGTTAGAAGTAAATTTTGACAAAAAGGTTCACGTAGCTTGGCTCTTGAAATATTCACATGAGTAAATTGGAGCAATAGTAGTATTAATACACATTTTTCCTGCTATAGTAAGAACAAAGGAGCTGTGATTCCGCCCCGACACACAATTTGGTTGGGCATCTCTAACTCAAAGCTGGAAATGCAGTGCCCCAAGTCATTCCCATACTGGTACTTTTTCAAAATAATTTTGCTTAGCTTTCTTAAACCCGCTTTGCCATTTATACCAAGGAGCCCTTTACTGTCTTTTGGGGATGGTGTCATCATCTCATGATGAGTCTTACACATCAGAACCTCTGTGATCTCAGTTTTAGCTTTGTTAGGCAGCTCGAGTGTATGTCCCTTGGCTACAGGGGTCTTTGTTTTTAGATCCTGTGTGAATACCTTTTCCAACAGTTGCTAATGGATCCTGACAGAAGAACCAAAAATGATGAAACATAACCAAAAAATCCTAAGGGTTACCTACAATTACATACCCCTCAGTCTTCAGGGGGAATCTCCGTCTGTACCTTAAGGGAAGAATTAATCTGACGGGATTTTTAAAATGTGCATTTTCACTGTAGACTATGCAAATGCTTTCCCCACAATGTCACTTCTGATCTTCTTGTTTGTATGCAATGTATTCCTTCCATTTATACCGCGATGAAGCCCGTGGCAGGGGGGCCGTGTACATGTCCCCTTGCAGAAGGGCAAATCTGGCACATAGTTATCTCTCTAGCATGGAGATACTGAGCTCCTCACCTGCCCTTCTCATCACAAAACTGCCTCCATGAGCATCACAAAACTAAACTGAGGACTGTAGAGATGCACTGACACCATCACACATCTAGCAGCGCGGTTATGTGCTGGGTTTCTTATCTCTGGTTAGGAATGCAGATTTTAAGCACTTTTCCCATAGTTTATTGTATTTATTATTTTTAACCAATGGTTTGGGGTACAGTGGAGAGACAGAAAGTGCTTTTTTCCCCTCTCTCAGAGTGCAGGGCTGTCAGCTGAATTGATTAAGGTCGAGTGTGGGACTCTGGTTTGAAGTGAACATGCCTTCGCTGCTTCTTCGCCAGACGCTCACGCGTGGCACCTTTTGTCTTGTTTTTATGAACTATTGTATAAGATGAAGCCATAAATGGGGTGAGAGTTGGAGGGCAGGTGAAGAGCCTCATTCTGTCACCATTAGTAACACGCTTGGACCCATTTTGCCTGTAAATTGAATAAGAAAGATTGCAGAGACTCCCTCTGCGTTACACGTCTTGATAACAATTAGGAGGAGCAACGGGGGCTGTCTGGTTATTCTTATTCTTTCAGTGCATTTAGCATAAAACCTGCGATAAAATAAGAGGTCTTGTTTTGTGGCAGAATGTACATTCATTTTTGTAGGTGGCTCTATTGTGAGTCTGCCCTTTTCTCCACCATGGGTGGCGAGGGGACCATGGCATAGCTGAAGGTCACAGGGGACGTAACACCCCATGGCCTTGTGTGGGGAGCACCCCAGAGCAGGTTCCTGAAGGCATTGAAGATCAAAAGGAGCTTTTCCATCCAAAAGCCACTTTCCTGATGGTTTTTGCAAACATCTCTGGGCACAATTACTGCTTTGCCTTGCTTTTGTGGAAGCCTCCATCTCTAAGTTTCGTTTTGGGAGAGTCTTCTCCTGTTCTCAGGATAGGTTTAGAGCTTCTTTTAAATTTTTTTTTTAGAATGATCCAAAATGAGGGACCAACAGGGTATACTTTTTCCACTTAAATAGAAGTACAAAATGCTTTCTTTAACAGCTGTAGCTCACAACCTGTGTACTCACTGCTTGTGAACTCATGATCTGTGGTCTAACCCCAGCAGCTACCTCAATGCTTTTGAGTTAGGATGGGTTTCATCACAGTCCTTTCTGGTGTAGCCCCGTTTGACTTCCAGGATGGGTATAACCCCATCAGCATCAGCTGCCTAAGCAGGCTGCTTGTTTTGTTTAATAATAAGGGCATTTAAAGCTGATTTTGATGGTAAATTAAACTATTTACAGATCAGCACTGCTGCAAAAATCAATGCCTGAGTTTTTCTAAGGAAAAAAAAAAGCACAGCTTTTGTGTGTTTGCAATCCAGTAAATTTCTTAACTTCTGAATGCTCGTGTTATTCTGCTAGTGTGATTTGAGTAAGTAGGGACAGACACTGTGGCTACCCTGCGGTGTGGGTCTTCCCAGTTATCTCCTGCTACAAACTGGTTTGGCTTTGTCTGTGACTTTTAGCTGCCTAGAGGCTGGAGTTGATCCTGAGAGCACAGGTTTGTTTTCTGCAGCATCTTGGGAGGAATTTGACATAAAGAAACATCTACATCTGAGCAAACGAGGGAGTACTTCGCTTTCCCTTGCTCCTGAGCTGCTCCGGGGAGAAGGGCTGCGGGAGAGGGAAGCTGCAGTTGAGGCTTTGGACAGAAGATGGTGCAGTCTTCAAAGCTTCGTCCTGGTGGGGTGGCTCCGCTCTCAGCCCTGGGTTTTGTGTTTGCCTCCAACGAGCAAACCTCGCACCGGTTATCAACTTTCTAACAGCAGCATTGCAATAACAAACGCCCCTTTTGCTACAATTTGTGGAGCCACGAGTTAAGGTGGCTCATTTATATAGCATGTATTTTACACATATATACATTAAAAAAAATACATTTACACGAATTAATAAATAACCACAAAATAGATAGTTTTCTTTCTTTCTCTGTGAATGCCTCTTCATCGCTCTTATTGCAGGGATTAAAAGCATTGCCCTGGCAGCAGACGTAAGCAAACCCGAGGATGTGCAAAGGGTCGTGGACACGATCGTGGCTCGCTGGGGCACCGTCCACATCGCGTGCAACAACGCGGGGATCAACATGAACTCTGCAAGCGAAGACACTTCCCTGGAAGAATGGGACAAAACTTTTAACGTGAATTTACGAGGATTGTTTTTGTGCTGCCAAGTAAGTGTGAAATGCTGTACCGGTTTGTTTTGCAAGGGGGTTCTAATTTAATTGAAAAAGAGCACTTTACTACTTAATAGCACTTTATGACCAATTATCACGATAAAATCAATCCCAGGTTTGTTGGAGCTAAGGAGTGATTTGCTTTATATCAACCACAGATTTTGGTCCATATTTTCAAAAGCAGCCAGTACTTACTGGCTGCCCAAGTTCAAGCATTAAAAAATGGCTGGATATCCTGAAATGTTTGAAGGGCCGTTCCCAATATTAGTGGTTGTTTTGAAAAAAATATTGCCAACAGTGAAGAGGGTCTGAAATGGCAACGGGATTTTTCCTGCATCAGCCATTTTTATACCAAGTTTTTATATCAAGTGCTTAAAAAAAATGTGTTAGCACATAAACTCTTCTGAAAAGTGAAGACTAATTTATTATCATGTCATTATTAGCACAATCACAAAAAGGGTCACTGGTCTTTCCTTTAATTTCTGTCACAGGCTGCAGGCCGCATTATGCTGAATCAAGGATATGGGAAGATAATTAACACAGCATCTATGGCAAGTTTAATAGGTGAGTGATGAGAGCTAACAGTTGTGCTTCAGAATCCATATTTTAATTACTACCGATGCTATTTGAATCAATTAAACCTGTATTGGGAAGGAGTAAATCACTGACATTTTGTATTAGAGGAAATGTACTACAAAATTTTTATTGATATCATTTTTCACCATTTATCTGTCCTCTATGTTTTAGCACATTTATTACTTTTTATAGAAGAGGTGGAGTCACCTTCTCTAACTGGGATGGCACTGGAAAGGTGCTGTTGCTCTCCCCGGTCGTTTCAGGCAAATGTGGGAAGCTGTGCCCCCATTTACAAGCTGCCCAAAGGCTTTTGCACCATTTTTTGCCCTGGTACCTGCAGGTTTTATTTCGTTACCGTTACCAACAGGTGTCTCGCCCAACGCTGCTGAATCAGCAGTGTCGTCAAAAGCGCCAATAAACCATTGTAACATATGGAATGAAATCCCTACTGCTGAGCTAATCTGGAAGGCAGTTACATGCTGGTGAACTGAGGCCCATGTAACAAAAATTGATCAATTACACAAATTAAGCATAGCCCTTTAGGAATTTATTTTATTGGTCTGGACATCTGTTGCAGTGTTGTCCAAATCCAAAAATCAAATGGTGCCTTGGGTTGCCAAGTTAGGCAAGAAAATCTAGTAGCTATAAAAGTACAACTGAAAACCCCTGTATTAATATCACGTCCATCTGCTGAATGTTACATAAATATGCAGTCTTTTTATTTTCCTTGGGAATAACATTTATTTTTACTGTGCCCAGTTTGACATTCTGTGACATTCTGCTCAGTTTATTGCACAGTAACTTTAAATGTTTCTTCAAAAATGCATATATAATGTTGTTGTTAATCTTTTTTTTCAAGTGTCTTTACCAGCTGTTTTACTTATGCTTAAACACAGGCACCATCCCTGTGCCCCAGCTTTGTAGAGTTACAAAATCTCCCAAAGAAAAATAGTTTTGACAGGAATGTAGAGCTTTAAATTTCAGATGCCCCAGACTTTCGTGCTCTGCTCTGCACAGTGGGGCTCTGCTCTGGGCTTGGGCTGTCACCATCCACACCATCGTCACAAAGCAAAATTTACTGAGAGCTTTTCCACCCTAGAGAAAGTTCTGAAGCTCTGGAAATGGGCAGCAGCTGCAAGTCTGCTGGTTTGGCACACTGTTCCCAGCCTTATTCTTGCAGTCCAGAAGTGCTCTCTGCTGCTCGAGGAGGAGAATTTCTTTCCAGGGCTTCTCGATCAGGCCCCTGCAGGGCTCTGCTGAGCTGGGAGTTAATGCTGTTCCACCACAGCGTCCGTCCCAGCCCCAGCTCGGGGCTGCACCTCCTTGGCCAGGATGCCAAGTCTACCGAGTCCCACATGGAGATCACCTTTGAGGGTGGTATCAGTCCTGGAGCGGGAATGGACGTTGGAAAGCAAACCTGAGAGCAGCCTGGAAGGGTCGTGACAAGGTGCATTTAAATGTCATTGAAAGTCAGTATGTGCTAGGCCAGAAGTTAAGAGACAAACACATGTTTACCTTCTGAACCTGTTTGAATCTCGGCATTGAGAAAATCTACTAGTTATAAAACTACGACTGAAAACCACGATGTTCATATCATGTCCATCTGCTGAATGTTAAATAAATATGTTGGTTGGTTGGTTATTTAAGTATGTTGGCCAACTGGCATAGTATGAAATGTTTCTAGAAATAGTTAGGGGATATTTTTTTGTTGTTGTTGTAGGTTGAGTCCTTCCTCAGAGATACGGGAAAATGAAGAGACACTTAGCAGGATAGGGAGGTTTTTGTTTGTGATTTTTTTCCAGATACACTGCTCAGAATCAGTTTTAATTAATTGAAGATAAGCTGCATACATTTTGCATATGTGCATTTTGATTCCAGTATTCCGCTGGAATTATTCCAGACGTGTGCTTCAGCAGTGGAGACGAGGCTGCTGCAGCTCTGCGGTTTGCACAGGTGTGACTTGGGTCTGTAATACTGACAGTGAATATCTTCACTGGGAAGGGGGCTGCTCCTCTCTGTCCGTGCCCACCTCTCATTGGCATTACGTGGCTGCTTCAAGGGCAGACTAGAAGCCTTATGCACCCAACAAGGTTGCAAAAACATCATGTCAAGTGTTTAAAAAGTAATGCAGCTGATGTTGGCAGCATTTTTATCTGCTTTCCTTTTGTCTTCTCGCTCCAAAACAGGAGTGAGTGTCCTTGCTTCCCACAAGCCTTACAACTTCAGATTTGTTTTGGTGGCACTGCTGGAGACAGAGCTTTATTGAGAAGCTCTAGCCCTGCTTTTCATGAGTTCAGAGGGTTGCAGGTTTGCTCTTATGTCACCTCAGGTAAGGGAAGAGGAAGCGGTGCGGGATGCTCAGCTGCAAAAAGCCCACTCAGCACCACAGCTTCTCAGGGCTTGTTGGCTTCTTCTTAAGCTATTCCAGCTGAGAGGGGCCAAGCTTCTCAGGAAGGGGAAATGCCACCTTCTGAATTACCTTCCTTAGGTATTCTTACGAAGACAAAAGCACTTATGCAGAAAGACTCTTGAAAACCCTGTCTCTGCACCCACCCCAAATCAGAAAGCTGATTCCGATTGCTTGCAGCAACTTGCTGTTCTCACCCATGTGTGCTCTTAGTGCAGAGCCGGTGCCAAAACTCTTATCCTCTTAGCGAACGCCAAATGATTTATCACAAACAGACATGTTTGGAAAGTTTAGCGAAGAACTGCTTTGCGGAGGTTAGAAGGTTAACTACCGAAGTTGTATGTAACTTGGAGCTGATGCATGGTAATTAATCAAGAAATTATGTTGTACATCTTTTTTTTTTTTGGAGAGCCCACACGGCAAGCTGTGGCTGGAGGGCAACAGGCATCTGCAGAGGGCAAAGCGGTTCTGCTGGTCGAAATGCAAATTGTTTCGTATTGAACGAAAAAGGAGCACAGAATAAATGTTATCGGAGCGGGTCCCTGATGCAGAATTCTCACTGCAGCAAGAAAAAGGCCTCCAAATTCTGAGCAAACCTTCAGCACGTGCAAAAAAAAAGTAACGCCAATCCTTGCTCCCATCATGTGTGTGCTTTCAAGCTAGCCACAAACATCTGTGTTCAAGGCCAAAGTCCTTATTCACCTGCTCAGTAATTTGCAGCAGGCCTTTTGGCTCTTTCAGTTTGGATAACTCAGTTTGTTACTTTCCTCTTTTCACCCTTTGAGCTGACCTACTCAAGCCCGGTAGTTTTAGTCAATAACAGGAGTAGTGGATGTGTTGGGATACCCTGGATGGTAGTGCCCTAGGACTGATGCAGCAGCTTAACTTCCTAACTTAAAACCAATTTAATGCCATCCACCAGCGTCACTGCTGTGCTTTTATCAAAATTTGGTGGGTTTTGCTTGCTTTCTCTCCGGGTTCAGCATTCCCTAACCCCACAGGCTGTAGCTGCCAGCCTTTGTGAGCAGTGGTATTTAACACTGATTTTCCCCACTCTCCCTCCATGAGGGAGTCAGCAACTCAGCGGGGCTCAGCACCGATAGGGTGCTAATTACAGATCGATGCTTCGCGCCGGGTTTGTTTAATGAAGTCATAACAGCAGCCAGGAAAGTCTAAGGAGAGACACTTTGCGGGTGTAAATCCCAAGAGCTGGACCGGCTGGGTTTGACTCCCGCGGGTTTAAAACACTTTACACCCACTGGGGATTTGTCCTTAAGTAGCTTTCCTGGGAACGCTGCAAATGTGAGAGCTGGCAGAGGGGCAGAGCCGCCCGAGCACACGGCACTAACAGGCTTGAACATTGTAATTAGCAAGCCGATCATTTTCCCTCTCTGACTGACATGTGACATCTCTGAAACATTTTCAAAAGCTTCACATTTTGAAAGTGGTGGGTGTTCCGAATTTTTGGGACGCACCGGTGCTCACATCCACACAAACACTGATTAGATAATACGGTGTGTTTGCTTCAGACTATGGATAATTTAAAAATTAAAGGAGAATCATTTGTTCCAAGAAGCTATATATAATAGAATATGTTATATAAAATCTAGCATGCATTATATTACACTGTATTATAGCATATATTCCATTATATTATATCATATATTACATTGTATCATTACATAATATCATCTCGTTACACTATACTGTATTAGTGTTACACTCTACAAGTATTTTGTAGATAAACATATGTATGTGTCTAATATATAAATGAGCATGTGTGCATAAGGTTATTTATCCTTCTTGGGAGTAGTTAAATATTGTATATGTATGTTTAATACATTGTGTTTGGCTCTGTCCAAATATGGAACCTTTTAAATTTCTTTCTTTCTTTCCCCCTCCATTTTTATCAGTAGCCCAGCTGCCGAGGTAAAAAAATTAGATGGTGAGATAGAGATTTAGAGGTTTGGGTTGTGGGTGGCTGAATTCTTGTTACTCCTCACCTAGCGTCTAGGAAAACACCAGAAAGTTCACCTCAGTGTGGGGAATTGTCCGTGTAGTGCTTAAGCTATCTTAATTTGTGGAGAATAAATAATTTCCTATTCCTGAATCCCTTCTAGTCCCGCACCCGCAGAAGCAGTTGGCGTATAACGCCTCAAAAGCCGGGGTCGTGAAATTAACACAGACGTTGGGAACCGAGTGGATTGACAGAGGAGTAAAAGTCAACTGCATTTCCCCGTAAGTAAAATGTAGTCTCATTTTGAAAGTACAAAGGGAATGAAGTGTTCTACAAAGCTCAAGCGAACAGTATCTCGGCAAATAAAGTTTCTAATTAGCAGGTGGATTGCATCCCTTTTTATGTTGTCTTTTCCTTAACAAAGGTTTAAATACTTAGAACCAAGCCTGCTCTGTTGCTGTGTATACTCAGGGATTTAAGAAGAGGTTTTAGCATTTGATAATAGGTTTTCCAATAACGTGAAGGGTAGTTTTTAGCATTTCTCTTCCAGATGAAATATTTCCTTCGTCTGTCCAAGCCTTCTGCGGTTAAGAAAAGGCTTTTGATGCTTAATAGACAATACCTCTTTCCCCTTTTTACTTGAGACAAATATATAAGCACTTTAAAAGCCACATTGCACTGCTGTAATTGAGATACTGTTCAACTCTGACAATCGCAGGAGGCCAGGTGTAATTTTGCAAATATGTATATATTTATTACAAATTACATTTTTCTTATTCTTAGAGGCTTAAACCTGCATGTTTTATTTTATGGTATTTAATCACAAAGAAAAGTTTTCTTGCCACATACACTTTTTCCTCTCCCTGTTTCCCACACACATACCCAACACAGTCATTTTATTAAACAATTAACAGAGCATGATAGTGCTAAGCAGAAACCCAAGTGGATAGCATTAATTGGAAGCGGTCGAATTCCGTAGACCATTGAAGTCAATCAGAGCAAGTAAGAAGGGCAGGATTTTAACCCAGGAGTTAAATTGTAATAATGATGGTATAATGTGCACCAAATTAGGAAAACCAGATTACGTATTTTAATCCACAAAGTGGAGTAAAAAAAAAATAAAATATCACAGAGCTCAATGGCAAGTACCTCTGTTTTCACTGTCAGTCTGCTCCCCACTTCTTTGTGCTAGCTGCCTTCCTTATGATTATTTATTACTAATTATACCAGTGACTCCAGCCGTTGCACCATGTGATCCACAGATTCTTTAAGCGGCATCTTACTTTGTAATGGGATTTTCCCCATGCCAATGCTATCAGCTCTGCAACAGTGTTCCCACAAAGTTACACGGTCTTTTGGGAGCCAGGGGAGATGAAGGGAATTAGGAAAGCTCAGCAGGACCTGGCGGGAACTGTGTCTGAGAACACTTGGGTAATCTTTGCCAACAGAGGTGGGATAGTAGTACCACATTCACAGCAATCACGGATAAGGAGGCTCTTAGATGAGGAATTACCTATTTCTAGAGGGTTTACATGAATTTAAAAAATATCCACCGAATGATCAAAACTCGCTTTGTGTAAGTTGGAGGCATACCCTTATATTTGAAGAAGTTATGTTTCTGGAAGCAGTTGTTACAGCATGGAGAAAAAAGTAGTCATGCTTCTCTTTTTCTGCTTTTCAAGCCAAAAGGGGTTTCATTTTGATCATCCCTATCTGTCTTGAACTCCAGCTCTGAGCTCAAAATCCTACAACAGGAAGTGCTGTTTTTTTGGGTTTTTTTTCTTGTTTTTTTTCTTTTTTCTTCTGGATGGAGGAATAGCCAGAAAGGGCACACAGAAGACCAACGTCTTGCTGTCTTTAAGGTCTCTCTTTCTGGGCAGAGCAGGTCCACTGACGCAGCTGGGGACCCAGACTGAACCCCTGTGGCAACTGGACAGAGCTTTCCTCAAAGTTCCAAGCTTTGTCTGAGCCCCTCATGCCAGGACCTCTGGGGAGCTCTGGGTGGTAGTTTGGAGGAAGGACCCTGCAGCAGTCTGGGTATCTCAGATCCCTTTTCAACACAAGCAAAAGCTGCATATACTTGAGAGTGAATATTCACATTTACCCTTCTGCCTGGGTGAGAAGTGACCCACTCCCAGAACTGTGGACCCCACCAGTCTTATTGTCACGTCTCTTGATGTGATTCACAGAGGAACAGGGACTTCTTCAACCCTCTTGAGTTTAGTAACCCAACACTGGGCTGTAGCTTCAACGCAACAGCGCATAAGTTGATGCCATCAGAGTACTTTGCAGAATTGCAAAATGTCCCAAATGCACAAGTCTTTCTGAATGTGGATGTCCAACCTAGCACGTAGTCATCTTATACAAAAGGGGATTTTGAGGAGCATGGAGTAGGGTGTGATGATACCCAAGAAAATCTCTGGATAAGTAAAATATGTCCTTAGGTACTTTGCCCCTCCCACTCACAGTTGCATTATTGCTTTAAGACACTATCAGCTTACCTCTGTCTGAGGCTTCAAACACTCTGCTCTGCCCTTAAACATTATTTCACCATGCAAACCTTTTGGCCTTTTTTCCCTCTTCCTATCTTGTCAGTTTTTATCAACTTAATTTCATAATGAGTGCATAAAACTTATGCAGAGCAATGCATAAAATGTTACGGCAGAGTCCTTACAATAATTTATTGGATATATAAAATTCAAGATTCAGGCTTGCCTTGCTGGCCAAGCAAGCCTCGTGTCCATGAGGAGAAGGTGGCCGTGACTCCCTGGATGCTCTGACTTTGCGTGCTGCTCCAGGCAGCAGCAAACATTTCCATGTATCATGGAAACTGGGCTCAGCCCTGCTGCCCCCTTTGAGTGCAATTGCCTCATAGCCAACGCACAATTGCCTCATAGACTGATGCACAGTTGCTGCTGTGCAAAAGTAAGAAGGTGCTGGAGTCTTCGCAAAAGGGACATGGGTGTTGAGCTGCAGAGAGGACATGGATGTGAACAGGGACTTTTACAGAACGCTGGCTGGTGGCCAATGCCTGGCTGCCTGTGGTGGGTTTTAGTCCTTTTGCTGGTCCCTGCAGATGTGAGGTGTGTTGAGTGCAACGGAGCAGAGGACTTTTTCAGGGTACCTGTTTTTTTTGGCATGTGTGGTATTGGTACGCTTCATTTTTGCAGGCATTGCACTGAATCAGTGTCTATTCTGGGGCTAATGAAGCCTCCTCGCTTGATATGCAAGGTGTAAAATGCCATAATGTGATGACCTGTGAGACGGGCAGCTGGAAGCTGATCTCCAGCTCAATTCCCAGCTGCAGCCAGGCCAGCTCGTCAGATGCCCAGTGAAACTCAGAAGTCCCAGGGCATGAACCATATTCTCCACTGCCAGGTTGCAGGGATTTGGGTTTGGGCTGTGATGGGTAAAGAGGCTTTGTCCCCTCCGTGTCTGCCTTGCTCCCCTGGGGTGAGATGGAGGCAACTGTATGGTGCTGTACCTGGCTTTTAGCCCACTGGGTATAAGGAGTCAGAAAAGAGGTGTAGGGCAGGATCACCACAGGTTTCGGGGGAGGGAGAGGCAGATCTGGGAGGAGAAGGAGCACCCCAGCATCACCTGAAGGCATCCCAATTAAGCAGCATTACTATCCCCATTAAGCAGCAGTCGTTGCTGGTAAGTATCTTTGGACTTAAATCTTAATTCCGTGGGAGATGTCCCAATTAAGTGGATCTTGTGATTAAACACTTCCTGATTAAGTGGAGTGTACTTAACTCATTCAAATTAATAACTCATCTGAAAGAAATCAAGTTACACACAGATGGAATCTTTCTTTTGCTCTCATTTGGGGATTGAGTGCACGTAACAATTCCAGTTAAGTATCTGGTAAGTGATATTTTTCCTAATGTGTCTCTCAAAGTGGAAATGTTTTAGGCAGTTGGGGTTTTTCTGTGGGTTTTTTTTTTTCCTAATGTCTCAAATTGTCCTGTGTATCAATAATGAAATATTGATGCTTATATCTAACGTTAAGGAACCAGCAGTTTGATATTACATTGACATGCAACAGAAAGTACTGATAGGCTCAGCACTGCATACGAGATGAGGTAGGGAATTAATGCATTGGCAGTTGTCTTTGCTGGAACTGGTTAGAAGCCAACTAAAATCTGCCTAAAAGGGTTCGACAACATTAAATTGCCCAACTTGGCACCAAACCTTTCCCAGAAGATGTGTAGTATCAATGACATGCCTAATATTTATAGTGCCATCAGTATGTGTGTTTGCAACTTTTAAGTTTCGCACTGTATTTTTCTCTCATTTATATAACAAAAATTTTTAATGAAGTTTCATTACATATCTTAATTTTTGCTACTTGAAGTGAACCTAAAGAAAGGTCCAGTGAGAGGCACAGCGCTCTGATTTACAGGTTGCAGTGATCAGACCAAAGATCCTTTTTCTGAACAGATTGAAAAATGTCCTCTTCTTAGCAAAATCTGTTGTGCTGGAGGACCGTGTGTCGTATTCCCTAATCTGCATTCCTTTGGGGTTAAAACATTATATATAAATTAGAAAAATTATGAACTCATATGGATCTTATTCTGATCTCGGATAGCGGGAAGCCAGGATGATTATGTTGATGGTTTTGTAAGCATGGTAAGAAGCACGTAAGGGAAAGGAGTCCAATATATTTCATGTCTCCTACTCAAAGCATGTTCCTCTCTGAAGAAAACCAGTTCTGGAGGAGTTTGGGAGAGCGAGGGGCTGTGCTTGGGGGAAGTGAGTAAACCCTCTGCAGTCCTATACTGGAATGTGTTTGATTTTATTACGTAGCCAGAGCTTAAGCGAGCTACATTGCTCAGTGTTTCTGAGCTGCTCTGGTGTTTATTGAGAGTTACAATAAAAACTAAAGCCGATATTTAAATCCTGCCTGATTAGTGAGAACAGAAATGTTTGCAGGAAAGTCTAAATTAGTTCCACTTCGTAACAGAGTAAATAGCAGATTTCAGCCTTCGTTTAAAACAAAAGGTAAATCTCATACCCAGAATCCAGTGTGTCTCAAAAAATTATTTCCTTGGAAGTATAAATTGGGATGCCGATGAAGTTTCAGAACAAAACGGGTATTTTTATACTTTGTTCATTTCATATTTATCACTAGCTTGTTTGCTAATTTTCATTTGCAAGAGGCAATTCTTCCAGCTAACTGGCTGCCTCAATGGGCCACTGATTTCTTTGAAGTGACAGTCTGTAAATATGCATAAAAAAGAGATGCAATTAGCGTGTGTGTGGTTCAGTGCAGCCTGATTTCATTGGCAAGTTTACCCACAGTGTTGATAAGCTACATTATCTAGAAAATTGGCCGCTGAAAAACAGCACCTCTGATTGCCAGCAAAGGTTCCAGATAACAGGGTGCTGAAGAGAAATATAATTGAGGTTGAATATGTTAACCAAGGTGTCACATGCTCCTTAGAAGCGCTAATTTATCAGCATGTTGGAATTTTTATTAACATTTGGAATGCATTTCTACCACACTAATGAAGTGGAATTGGCAGTTCAGGTTTTAGTTATTGTCATTTCTGAGAAGTTAAATGTAATTTCTCGTTAGACACAGTTATGTAAATATATTTGTTCAGGGGCTGAAAAAATTATACATTTTGCAAAATACAAATATGTTGTTAAGGAGGAGTATGACAAATCAGTCGCAGTTAAAGTCATAAAAGCCAGCCTAACGTTCGCCCTGCATTGTGCTTTCTGGAGCATCACTCATTTTTAGGGCACCTGAAGAAAAAGGAGTTAGCAGACTTTTTGTAAATGGCGTAGTCACTTGTTAAAGTAAAAGAGGTAAATGCAATGGGATTTGTCCAGGTATTTGGTTTAAGGGGAACTGCACAGGGTATGCTGCGCTTATCTTTACCTCTCTTTTTTTGCTTGGGTCTGGTGCCCAGAAGGGCGCTGGCTTTTGTTTCTCCTGTTTTTTGACACATGGGAGGTCAGGCTGTTTTCAATTTCTGGGCTGAAATGACATTATGCTGCGAAGGGATGAGAAGAGAAAATCGGTAGAAGGACGGCAACTCATGAGGTCCGCAACAGACTGGGTTCAAGTTGCTTTCAGTTCCAATGCCATGCTCATTTTCTATAAAAAAAATTAAACTGCTGATTGTAACGAGTAACCTACAAGTAAGGGGATACTGCTATTAGCTAAGAACACAGTATGTATGTACTCACTTTAAAGAAAACCCTGAAGCCTGCCCATGGGCAGCAAAAGGCGATAGGAGGGAAGAGCTACTGAAGTTTGCATTGTGACTTTTGCAACGGCAGCGCAGCTCTGCCTCGCGCGTCTCCTTTGTCCTCTTCCGCGAATTAACATCTCAGAAACCTCCGAGCGCTGCCTTTCCTTCTCGGGCTGGGCAGAGAAAACCCATTTCCTAACCTGTCCGTGTGTGTCCTCATTGCAGGGGCATCGTTGACACGCCGCTCATCCACTCCGAGGAGCTGCGGCCGCTGGTGCGGCGCTGGCTGCGGGACATCCCCGCCGGGCGGCTGGCTCGGGTGACCGACCTCCAAGCTGCCCTCGTCTATTTGGCCTCCGAAGCCTCTGACTACATGACGGGCCATAATCTGGTCATCGAGGGCGGCCAGAGCTTGTGGTGAGGGACATCTTCCAGCCTCTGCTCTCAGAGATGCAGGGCACTTTGGAAAAGTGCGTATTAGCGTTTTGCTTAGTCCCTATTTTGGCAGCTGATATGGAGTGATTGGTTTCTTCTTTTGTGTGTTGCTTTAAAGATTCATGTAATGGGGGGGGGAAGCACAATTTTTCATTTTCAACATTTTCATGTTTTTCATTTTGCATTCAGGCTTCTCTTAAATTAGTGTTTAACGATATAAAGACATTTGCTGCAGTGAGATTTGACTGTTATTTAAACAGGGGGCACTTTTAAAGCAATATGTATTAGCTGATCTGTGTAGCATATTGTTCTTAGGTGATTTTTTTTTTTGTATTCAAGTTGTTCCAGTGACATCTGTGAGTGGTGAAAAACAGTTGGATGTAGTGTTAAAAAAATAAATTAGTTCGTTGCATTTGAACCTGAATGTTGCCATTTCATATTTACTGGTGTTCTTAAGTTTTTGACAGTGTTTTTATACAAACACCCACATAAATGCCCCTGAAACAAAAGTACTGCACTTAGTAGAGAATCATGGCTGGTAATTACAATGGCTCAGATCCAAGGCCCATCGAGGTAAGTGGGGACTGCTTGTATATTTTAAGTTAAATGCATGTACAAGTGTTGATACAACTGGGTCTTTGTTTTCCTTGATATGCAGATGTAAGCAAAGGTTGTTTTCCAAATTTGATTTTTTTTTTTTTCCATCCTGTAAAATTCTGAAGACAATTCTCAGATTTAAGTCAGGGCCAGTTCAGATGATATCAATACACTTCTGTCGATGATATCGATACACTTCTGCTGGTTGAAGAGCTCATTTCGGCGATAGCCCTGGGTTCATTGCTTATAGGCAGTAAAATGTGGCACGATAACACCACCATTTTGATAACACTCTGAATTTACACAGACTTCCATCCCGAGGGCCGTTGAGCATAACCTAAGGAGAATTTACGGGAAGGAATTCACTTGCAAATCCCCATGTCATTTGTTTTGCATTTGGCAGCTCTTTGTTACCATAACATAAATAATTGTGGATGAATGTCATTACTTTGATTAAGTGCTACAAGCCCATACATTGGCTGGCCATTATTGTGGTGAATTGCTATAATGGCTTCAGACTTGACATTCACCGCCACATTGTAAGGTATGCAGCTCGCTGACGTACCATCATCGTTACCGTGGATAAAGTGCAAGAAGATACTTGTCTTCATTAAATTTTCTATTAGACCATTGATAATTAATACATATCTCATGTTTCATCTTGAGTCGTTTTTCTGGGGAGTGTTGCTGTGAAGCGACTCAGGGCTAGAGCTTTTTGGCTTGAATCCCCTGCCTTGTGTGCATGATCTAATTTATTGACAATGCTCTGCAAACTCACGGGCTTAAGGAGAGCTCCATTCTGGATAAATCTTAAAGAAAAAACAATTAAGGATTTAAACTTTTTATTATTTTTCTGGGCTTGCAAACCCTTTTCTCTCCTAGCTCCCACACTTGCATCATTTTGTGTCATGCTCTGGAGGGCTCGGTGGAGTTCTCACATCCCTCTGCCTGGCTTTTCACCCAGAGGTTAATGTACAAAGATTGGTGAACTCATCAGGAGCTCTTCCAAGGGATCCTAGAGGGGCTTGTATACTATCGCTTGGACTGCTGGTGAACAGTTTGTTGCAGCTCCTACCTAAAGTGTAAAATAACAAACTTCAGCTAATTTGAAACATGAACTGCATTGGCACTGGAACCGTTACCAATGTTCTCACTTTCTCAATAGAAAGACAAAGGGCTGATCAGGCTGCTGAGGCTGAGCTCGCCCCTCTCCCTGACTGGAGAAGGTGGCACCAAAAGGCGCTGGCAGGGCTTTGCAGGAAGACTGAAGTTCATTGTGCTGGTGCCCAGTGGTTTTGGGAAGGTTTTTCAGCCAGCAAGGGTTATGCTGTGACTTCCACAAGCTTCAAACTAACTTTAAATACAAAACCTAGACAGAAAAAAAACCCCATAAAACAACCCGAGGCTTTAAAAAAAAGCATAGTATCAGAATGATCTCTTAGGTAGGCAGCCTCCAGTGTTTGGACTAGAGCTGGTCTCGATCCGATCTGTTTGCCCCCAGGCTCTGCCTGTGATGGGCTGTGCGGGCAGAGCGGAGCGAGTTTCCCTGCATGGAGTGATGTAGAGCTTGAGCTCTGTTTGGAGACACGGCCGTGCTCCCACGTTGAGCTCGGCTCTGCTCTTTGTTGGCCCAGAGGCTGGTAGAAGAGATTGTCTGACCTCTGTGGTGCAGGAGAGGCTCAGGACTAAGCAGCCTGAGGGAGCACGGTACTTGGCACCCAGAGGTGACGGGCAAATACCCTCACGGCACTTTTGGTTTGTGTGACATCTTCACTTTGGCCAAAGAAATGAATCCTGGTGGAGGGCAGGTGCCAGGACGGAGACGCTTCTCCCCATGCATGTGTGAGCTGGCCTGTCATCTCCTAAGGACAGACTTTCACCTCTCTCCACCACATGCCCAGGGTTTCATCCCTGCAAGGGCTCTGGGAGCAGCACCGTGGCTTTTCATGGCCTCATCTGTAATTCCCTTGGAGAAAATGCTGATTTTCACTCCAAGGCTGGGCTGACTGCATGGAGGTGCTTCTGTCTGATAGGACCAAACCTCTTGCTTGGGTTGGGATGTCTGTGCCTTGCTGCGTGGTGGCAGCTCCCCAGGCCTGGGGATGGCACTCTGCCTTGTGCAGAGGTTGGACCCTCATTGCTGCAGTCACGGGGTCTCTTCTGGCAACAGGACCCTAAAGCAAGGGAAAGCGGCAATTTCGCGTTATAAGGGAAAAGCACAGCTAGAGAGGGGTGGAAGAAAAGCCCCTTTTCTCTCTTAGCACAGAAGACCTGAGGGGGCAAAAGATTATTTGGAACAATTTGAAAATATTTGGGGGAATGAAGGTGAAGCTGTGAAATGGCAGCATCCGTGCTTGGGGAGGTTGTTCAGGGCAAGTTGCTCGGGTGCTCAGTCCCAGGGGTGGGCTGGCGGTGGGCTTGGGGGGGTGGAGGTTCCGGGGTTGGTGCTTGGTGATGCGGGGCAGGCCGGTGGCG